AAATAACGAAACCAATGCACAGCAAATATAATAAATATAAATTATTCGAAACGGATGGATTTAGGCTAATAACCAAAAAAACGAGATGTGAAAAGCAGGATTTTCGACTTATTTATTCTAGTGATATTCTCAATCAGGTAGAGAAACTTCTAGCTCGAGAAGCTAGCTTTGAATCATACTACGAATTTTATATTCAATCTCTGTACTTTATCAGAACAATACTGGCAGCACGAGACTTTGTAACAAACAGTAAAACTCAAAAAATATTATTGAAGCTTTTTTCCAATTTAGTTACTAAATCGAGCAACCAAAAAGACTCAGAATGTGTTTTTTTGGACAAAGAAAAACAAAAAATGATTCTTGAAACCAAGGTACTAATTCATGTATTAGAAGCAAACATTTATGATTTCTACGACTTAACGGTCGAGGCAATTATTGACTTTTTTTTAGCTGCTAGAATAAAAGATTTTGGCGTCACTATCTGTGTTGTTCGATTTATTAATCGATTAATATCAAACGGTAAATACACTAAAACTCAACTCAAGCAATATCTTTTTGATGTTAATCCGAACAAAGATTTTAACTCGACTACGTCATTTTATTATATACTACTTATCATTAAACTAGCAGAACTCTTAACGATCAGCACAGATGTATATGATTCGAAACTTGATATAGTTCAATCAATCACCAGAAACGTGTTTGAAAAAATGTTTCGAAATTACAATGTTCTTCAGATAAATACCTTGATTAGTCAAGTAATAAAATACGTTAAATATTACAATGATTTATTTGTACTAGTGTTTTTAACAGCTGGTGTAATGTATTTAAGATCTTTTCTCAGTTATGGCGCTAGTTTTAACAAACGGATTATAGCTTACACTGTAACAGTGAACTATACACGGGTAATTATTTCATTGCTAGATGAAACTAATTTAAGCAAAAATAAATTAGCGTTACAAGAATATGAAAGCTTAGATAACAAGTTTGATTCTGGAAACCTTACACTCGAAAGAATTAACTTTTTTAAAGCCATAAGCAATGAAAATCAAGAATATATCACTCATTCAAAGTTTTTTTTATTGTCTAATATATTACTATTAAATAAAATTCTCAATAACCGCCAAAGTCAATTTGATATCTGCCACAAAGCTTACACCTGGATTATGAACAGCTCAAATCTGTCTTGTATGATAGTTATGTGTCTGGGTCTGTGCGATCTGACGTGTACTTTTACTGACTTAATCAATCAATTACACCGAGCACTTTTCAAGTCTTTAGATGTCGATTCTTTGTACTTCTTGTTTCCCATTGTAATGAAAATCTCACTAACCACGTCAGATGAACTTTTTCAAGTCACCGTTTTTAAAATATTAAAAAGCTTGACTTATCAGATGAACTTAAAAACACTCGAATACGTAGCCAAGTTTATTTACAAATTGATAGATCATTTTCTATTTTCTTACAAAAGATCTTTTACAAAAAAGAGCCTGGAAAATATCAGTGAGCTTTTTTCTCTTTACAGTATTGTTCTTGATACTGCTCTGTACGTTACTGATCGTTCATCTATTGTTAAGTGCATTTTAAAATCCGTACTTGCAGTTTTTTTACATCATTCAGACATTTTAGTTCAAATCAATAAAATAAACTTATTCGGCATTCTGAAAAAATTATTGGTTTGCTGTAACAATATGTATGAATCCAATTTTAAAAGTTCTTTCATGGCTCCGTTGATAACGCAGTTAAAAAATCTGCAAACCGAACTAGAGGTATCACAGTTGGCTTTTATTATAAATTATTTTTTTGTTTTATCAAAACAGATAGTTATTAGTATAGTTAGTTTAGAAGGAGAAGTTCTACGTCCTGAAAGCTTCATATTAGAAGCTTTGTTCTATGATGATAACAAGCATTTAGCCCAAAAAACTAAACTCCTAAAAAAATTTTTAATACTAAATTTTCACGCAAAAACTGTTCCATCGTTCAGTTACCAGTTCTACTCTATACTGACCTTAAACCAAAGAACATCACAAAAAAGGCTTATTAAATTTAATATACATTCGAAAATATCCCAGATATGTTTTGAAGTTTTCAAAGATGTTAGTCAAGGGAACTTAACACAAAATTCACATTCTCTTGCAAAACTGCAAATCGTTAATTCTTTTTTATATTTTATCAGCCAAACTTTAGATTCAGACGAAAATCCGGAGATGACGACGTTATCAGAGTTGCTAATAGAAGTACTTTTGATACTTATTCAGCAGGGTGACGCGTATTCGAGCTCTTTGCAGAAATTGTGTATAAATCTGTTTAATGTATTGAAAAATACGAATAATGGCGAAATACAAACAAATAGTTCAAAGGATCAAATAACTGAATTTTTAAAATTCTATGAACACGATTCATTTGAATCGTATACAGATGAAACGGTTTGTGCCTTTTTACTATTATTAATATCAGAAGTTGTTTTGTCAAAACGTTTGCCAGCTCAAAATTTTTGCCTGATTGACATTAGTCGAATCGTCTATACAATGTTGAAAATAAAAAAACACTCTGTCTTAATAGAATACAATTTGATCCTGATTATTTATGCTCAATATGTAAAAGCGGAACAATTAAAAAAATTCATCGCAAATTTAACTAGCCCTAAAACGTGTAAAAATATTAAACTGCTAAACAATATCTGTTACTTTTTGTTTCTATTGAAAATTTATCGGCCCGAAGTAACTTCGATTGACGAATATTTAAAATCCAGTAATTTTTACGACAATCAGATCTTTGTTTCAGAGCTCGAGAATATCGACACAGTGTTTCGAGCCCACTTCATCACTACAAATAAAGAATTATTAATAAATGATATTCAATACTTAAACCCATTTGATGGATTTTTATCACACAACAAATATCAACGTCTTTCAGCAATGAACACCTACGCTTGTTTTTTTAATTCAACAGCCATCAATACAAATATTTCAAGTTGCAAATTTTTATCTTTTCTTGTACGCAAGCCGTTCGACTTTTCCCTGAAAACAAATGATTCACGAAATAATTACAAAAAAAGCTTGGAAGATATTTTAGAGCGAACAAAACTTATCACAACAGTGTTTTATCAAAGCACAAATGACGTAAAAACAGTGTTTATACACAACTTATTATCCTCCATTGTGTATTACACAGTTAACTATCCTAGTGAAAAATTGAATAAAAATGCAACAGCATATCTACACAGTTTTGAGTGGACTGGCTTTTTCATTGACGAAAAAAAAACTTACAGTAGAAATAAACATAAAATACTTCAAATCATAGTTAATTCGCAATTCAACTTATTCCTCATTACTCACTTAATGGCTTGTCTATGCATTCTGACTTTTAGTAAAACTGAAGTTTGCAAATTTGTACAAGAGTTAAAAAACTTTATTGAATTTATCAACAAAAATTGCAAAAGTTTCTTAGAAGCTAAATCCAGTGATAAGCAAATCGAATTAATACTGTTTTGTTTAATTAAAATCTACGTACAGACACTTGTTATCATGGTTGATGCTCACATAATTTTCCTTAATTCCTACACATACCAGTCTCTTAATTATTGTTTTAACGAACTGAGAAAGTTTATACTCAACATAGAAAAGTTGTTAAAAAAAAGTATACAGCCGATTTTTCACAGTTCTGACTACTTTACAAACGACATAACGTTGTCAAAAGCATCGTTTATAAATTTGATCACTAAGCTTACCAATATTCGGCCCGAAGATGTACCAACTAAAATTAGTTAATTATCATAAGTGCAAAAAACACATAAAAAAGCCAAAGCGGATAGAGTATCAGGAAGCATTTTTCACTTGGTAGAAACAATTTTTTGAAAATAAAAAAATTTGCAAGTGCACTCCAAGTCGTGAAAAAAGCAGCCAATACCACAACGGTTTCTTTGTTTAAATTACCTCTTATGAGAGACAGACTGAATAATAACATTGGAAAGTAGGAATAACCGTGAATGCAAAAACATTGATACAGCGAAGCCGTTTCCCTGCCAACTAAGAGAGTGCAAAGTGACCACGTTAGCAAAATACCGTAAATAGACGTTGCGTATATGCTTCCAAAATGTAATTTACCGCTGAATAGTAATGCCACGCAAATCAACAAAAAGATAAAAACAGGAGCTGAAACATCCAAATTGGAAATTTTGTCTACGCTGATGCGTCTGAAAAAAATTATGTTGAACAAATTTCTCAACATTTCTCGGGGAAAAATTTGCAGCTCTTCAAGCAATGGAACGGAATCGTCGTCATCAGTTATCGAATTTGTTTGTTGTGCATTGCTTAATTTCTGTGCAGTGGACGGATCTGGGTTATTCAGTTCAAAAAAACTGCCCATAGTGGAATGTAGGAATCCATTTTTTGGAGTGTTATTTCCGCTATTTAACTTAGCCTGGTAAAATGGATCGTCACTCGCAGCATTATACTGTTGCGACGGTGGCTGCAAATTCTTTTGAGCAGGTACAGTATTATTTTGGTAAGTTTGGTTATAACCATTCATTGGCGCGTTATTAGTGTTTGGAAATGGTGATGTGTGATTAACAACCCTGGGTTGATAATGTATAGACTCATTTCGCTCAACGTTACCGGAATTTGAATTATAATAAAAATTATCAAAATACTGAGTATTAGCGTTTGAGCCGGCTGTGTACTCTTAAAAAAAATTTTTAAAACTATTAGCCAAACTTACCGTGCTTTTCATTCATATATGCTGCATCAGTAAGATATACAAGTCCGTTCTTGACTCCGCTTCGATCATTGGCTGAAAAATTTGTTTTATTTCTGTTTGTTAAATCGTTGTAATTCCCGTTACTCATTCAAAAAATGGATTTCAGTGTTGTAAAGCTTGACCGATCTAGATAAAAGAACTGATTACATTATTTAATTGCGATAAAGTTGATTATTTTACTTATTAAAATAAATAAAATAAATTATTTTCGCAAAAAAAAATGTTTCTTAGCAAAAGAGGTGATGTCACAAACTGAGTCGCAAGACAAAAATGAAACAGTAAAAAAGACAGAAATCGACTTCGAAACAGTCGAAATTGGCGCTCATGAAACGCTTATTCAATCTTTAATCGAAGCAAACAACGATAGTGATGATGAGGGTAAGACATACGAAACCTTCGAAGACTTAGGTCTTCACCCAGATTTGTTAAAAATAATTAAAAAAAGAAATTGGGAAAAACCTACAAAGATCCAGATTAAAACAATTCCACATGCTTTAAAAGGTCGAGATATTATTGGGCTGGCTGTGACAGGTTCAGGAAAAACTGGCGCTTTTTTGCTTCCAATATTAAATTCCATTATCACCAACGGGTTATTTCCTTTTTTTGCTACCATAATAAGCCCTACAAGAGAACTTTGCGTGCAAATCGCAGATGAATGTAAGAAACTAGGTTGTCTGTTTCACGTTAAAGTATGCACAATTGTAGGAGGATTGAGTCAAACAGAGCAAGCTAAAGAAATTGCTCGAAAACCAAATTTCCTGATAGCTACTCCCGGGCGCCTTGTTGATCATTTACAAAATTTAAATGGGTTCAACTTGTCAACAGTTAAATACTTGGTCTTGGACGAAGCTGACCGGCTTTTATCTATGGATTTTGAACAAGCTCTATACGAAATTTGCCAAGCTTGTAATAGCGATCGCCAAACAATGTTGTTTAGTGCAACAATGACAAGCAAAGTAAGCAAACTGCAGAAAGCTTCCTTAGTAAACCCAATTAGGATCAAAGTCGACGAGAAAAATCAGACTGCTCACAATTTGCATCAGTTCATTGTGCTGGTCCCACTAGATAAAAAATTCGAGTATCTAGTAGCTCTTATGCAACCTCGTAAAGCTTACAGAACCATAATTTTCTGCAACACTTGTAAATACGCAACTCTCGTGTCGATTTTTCTAAACATCTGCGGGTTTTCGTCCGTAGTGTTGACAGGAAACATGGATCAAAAAAATAGATTAGCTAGTTTGAACCGCTTTAAATCTTCTAAATACAACATTCTTGTCAGTACAGAAGTCAGTGCAAGAGGGTTGGATCTTCCTGATGTCAACCAAGTCATTAATTTCGACGTCCCTACTAATTATAAAGATTACATTCATCGTGTAGGAAGAACAGCAAGAGCTGGAAAGCACGGAGTTGCATTTACTTTTGTAACAAAAAACGATGTCGTTCAATATAAATCTATAGAAATAGCCATCTTTGGAGACAACAAAGAGGCTTTTCCTCCTGTCTACGAAAAAATAAAGGATGAATACGAACTCGTGTCAAATTCAATGAATTTGGCTAGACTCAAAAGTCAGGCGGAAAAAGAATTTCACGAACTTTTGGAAAAAAAAAAAAATAAAAAGTCACGCTAAACTGCTACTTATTCTTTATTCAAATTTATATTATTTTTTACTGTTCCTTATTTTTTTTGTGTATTATCCAACTCGACTTGTATTACATTAAGAATCGAGTTGATCAAAGTGAGTTAGACTAAAACACACGCATGATCGGACCACATATTGCATTGTTAGTCGCAGTTTCAGGTTTTAATTTTAAAAAGTGTACGTTTACACACAGTAATACTTATTTTAGCAATTTTAAACCCTATTGGGCATAGTGTTACTAATACTTATTCCAAGGCCAAAAATACGTTTACAAATAACGATGTAGTCGACGGAACTGTAGAATCAAAAACAGAGGAAACAGAGCATAATATCGAAGACAGGTCTTTAAAAAATCCTAATGAATACACTGAAAAAATACATGAAGAAACCGAACGGTTTAAAAAAAAAATGCAGGAAGATATCGATGCGAAAAAACACATTAACGACGCTAAAACTAAGAAGCAAAACGATCAAGAAAACATAAAATCTAAGCTTGCATATATAGCCAAAATAGATGAAGAGCTCAAATTAAAATTATCAACGGTAGAACAACAACTTAAAACGTTATCCACAATAGAAAATCGAATAAGCAAAGAAAAGTCTTTAGAGGCCAATCCAGACCAGCTGGAGATAATTATTGGCTTGCCTAAGAAAGCGGGCCGTAAAACGCCAACAAATAGCACTGAAAACATTCCAGAGCAAGGTTTTTCCAAGAATAAAATCCTGCCACCAAATGTAACAGTATACGTAATGGATTCTACTTCGATGAACTCTTTGTTTGAGTTGCAAAAGAGAAGCGTAAGTCATAACACATAGCAATTTTAGGATATATCTCTTAACAGGAAAGAAGAAGGGCTTTATAAGTTACAAAAGGAAGCTGAAAAAAAGTTTGCTATCGAATATGCGATTTATCTATTTGAGATAATGCTTAAAAACAACGAGCTGCTCGCAAATACACTGACAATCAACCATATGAGAACTCTTAACAATCTTAAGGACTTGAAAAATCCGGAACTGCCAATGATGCTGAACACGTTAGTAAATGTGGGCAAACGAATAATAGAAGACGAACGACAAAATAAAAAAGATAGAAGAATCAATGAAAGTTCTAGCGATGAATTGTTGTTTGGTGACGAAATAGTTTACTAATTAACAGTTTCGTTAGAACTGCTAGTTCGATTTTTTTTTAAGGTTTTTGACAATAATGATTTCTTCGTCGTCAAACACGTTAGATTTGACGTATTTTACGTTTGCAGACTCGATATGAGATTTGTTGTTTAATTCGTCGGAATTTGATTGTTCACGGTCAATTGTAGTCTCATCAGCTTTCGATTTCTTTTCCAACTCGACGGTATCCAAACTTAAATCAATTGCAGGCAAATCTTCTTTTGTATCTCTTTGAGTAAAGCGGACAGTACTAACTAACTTAAATTGAAACCAATTATAAACGGTTTCTTCTGCCTTGACGGTTTTTTTAAGCTCCTGTGCTTCTTTTTCTTGAGCGCGAATTGTATCTTTGACTTCCTGAAATTTTTTGAACTTCAGTAGCTTTTCTCGGACTGAAATTAGTTCTGAGTACTGCTGCATCCAAGTTTGGAGCGTCTCTTGAGAAAACAGAATTTTCTTAAAAGCTGAAATATAAAACAAGAATATTTTGTTATACTCATGTTTAGGATTTATAAAATCAAAAGTGGGGCGGTTGGCGTAATTTTTTACCAAGTACGTAATGAATTTCATGCCGTATACGGCGGAATATTTTGCGCAAAGCAACAAAACTCGCAGTTTACGATTGGCAATGGAACCCGAATAAATGAAAAAGTTAGACGGATAAAACTGCCATTCTGCAATTTGATCGTTGGTAAACAAACCTTCATATTCTTTTTGAATCAGCAAGTTTTCACTGTGAGATTTGATAGCCAATTTTTTGCTGTCTCGGATTTCGTGCAGTTCAATTATTTCTTTTGGAACAGAAAGATTGACTGAAGCATCGATGTTAGCTTTACGGAGCTCGTGGCGGCGTTTGAAGTACTGATAAAAAGGATGGGTTTCTTTCAAGAAAGGAAAGTTCGAAGCGATCTCTTCGTTTTCAAGAAAACTGTTAATATATTCGTCTCCGTTCTCAACTAAAAAATCTACTGTTTTATCTATGACATCCTTGAATGTCTTACTAGGCAGAATAATACCAGCGTACTTATCATCTTCGTAAATCGCTAAATTTTCATTTTTATCCATACGTTGTCATTACAGTCAGAATTAAAGTTGCTCGCATTTAGCTAAAATAAATTGACTTTGTAAATTTATAATTAATTTAGAAAAAAATATTGAATATAAAGTGCAGAAATTTCAATAATAATAGCTCAATTCAGATTGCACATATTAGCATAAATATCATTTCTCACACCAAACCAGTAAAAAAATAAACACTAATCTATGTATACGATATTATTTCATCACGCACACCAAATGAGTGTTATTTAGCATATGTAATGAGAATAAAACAACAATGCAAGGGTAAATTTATCGAAGAAAATGAGTTTAAACGTGAAAAATACATAGCTCTATCGTTTGTTAATCAGTATTCCAATTCGGAAGAATCTGATAATAACGAGCAAAACAATGCAACGCAAAATTCTCAAATAAAAGATTATTTTTTCAATGTTTTGCCGTCAAAAAATACAAGTAATGTGAACGAAGAATTAAGCGAAACTGATCCTTCTTCTGTTTGTTCCAACGTCAGTTTCAACAACAACTGTTTGCACAAGTGGAATAGTTTGATAGAATGCATAAACTACAATGAAGACCAAGAACGTCTTTACTTGAGCGACAACTATTTTCTACCTTCTTTTTTTTTCAGTTTCATCAAAAACGACTTTGTTGAATCAGACTCTCAAGACTTTTCTTTTAACGAAGACCGAAAAGGGTTAATAGTCAATTTAGATGAAGAAGACGAACAGTTTTTTTCAGTAAATGAAAAAGTGTCTGATAATCCACAAATAGATAAAGTTCGACAAATGATTATACCGGCTAGTTTGGTAACCAGAGCAAAAAAGTTTGGAAAAGACTTGAACTCCATGCTTTGGAAAGACAGCCAAAAAAAAAACTCTAAGTTCTCTGAAAGTGAACTGAGAGTGGGTAGTTTTATTAGTAAAAACAATTTTATAATTCAAAAACTTGGTAGCGTGCTGGACAATACGAAGCTAAATGAAGATTCAGACATTCAGTTTTACTCGGGGGATGAATCAGGAGACTGTAATGATCCTCGTTTGATCGTTGCCACGGATGCCAAAAAAAGTTTGCAGCCCATGTGCGCGCCTTATATAAACTGTAGCAACATATTATCCCGCCAGTTATTGGACGGTCTAGTTCATACAGTTAAAAATACTAAAAATATAATTTTGAGAAACATGGCTGCCGTCATTTTAGACAACTACTTAAAGCACCAACTCTTGTTCAACTCGTTTATTTGGCACGATTACTTCGAGTTTATGTGCAATCTCTTTCTACGTAATTACAAACCTGACAGAAAAAGAAACGGGAAATTCAGTGTTGAGTCTTTCACCCTTTGCGATTCACAAGGGCTGAAATTCGAAGACTTTTCAGTCAACAAAATCTACGTTAGTTCACGTGGGTTTTATCAAGACACCTTTTTGAATCGTTGCAGAGTGATGTCGTTTGGCAACTTATACAATCAGGTGACCCACTACTTTCCGCTCATTGTTCGTCTTGGTTCTCAAAAAGTGCTATATTTGAAAGTTATCTTTGTGAATTATTATAGCAATACTTTTACAAAGGATGGAGCAAACGCGTTACTAATGTTGCAGCGTTCAATGAAGAACGATACAGACGAACAGGAAAAAGCGATCGAATTGCACGAAGTCGTCAAGAATTGGTTGGCAAATCGAAACAAGTTTAACATTTTGGCGTTCAATGCAATGAACTGCAACTTATATTTGTCCATGGCGTCTCGAATGAATCACATAGTGGTGGAAACAAAGACTCTAGAAGAATTTGTCAATCTGAGCAAGTTTTTCAAAGCTTTGAGCACGGAAGACTTCTACCGCAACAGTGAGAAACAACGAATTGTTTGTGACTATGTTTCGCAAGAAACAAATAATTTAATTAATGTTTGTACAACAAACAATAATTTACCGAACATGCCTAAGTATAATACAGCTGAGATTGTCTACGAGTGTAATAATTTTTTGAAAGAATTCAAACCACAATCTAAGTATACCTGGCACGAAGATATACGACCAAATTCTAGTTCAGATGTTGTGCAGTCTAAGTTAACCTTAGCTGAAATATCCGTCGAAACCGAGCCTCACGTACTCAATCCAGAAGACCTTGGGACGGAAAAATCAACTATTGAGACTATCAATTACGTTAACAGAACGGAAGAACTAGAATCTTGTACGCCAAAAAATACAGAGATCGTGGTACAAAAAACAGACCAAGCGTCATGCAAGCCCACGAAAATATTCATAGAATCAAACGTTGCGAATCAGTTTACTTTGCGCTGGAAAATCAATGAGTTCCAGGCATTCCGTTTTGCGGCTTCGAAATCCAAGCTACCATTATTGAGCTCCTCTACGTTCGAAAACTCCGGCATTTTTTTAACTTTGAACCCGAGAGCGAAAAACAAGCATGTATACTGTTATATTAACATTCCTACGCGCCTAAACATGCGAAAAGCCAGCATTGTCTACGAATTCAACGTTTTAGGCAGAAAGCAAAGAATCATGTGCAGCTCCAAAAACGTGGTTTTAACTTCTGAGTCGAGAAACGAAAAAGTAATTGAACTCAAATTGTCGAGCCGGAATTGGTTTGGCAAGCGCCGCTACCTGCATCTTCTGCATAACAACGCGTTGGAGATTGAATTTAAGGTCAATATTATCTATCACGACTCGTACGTTTTCACAGGGGTCAACACCACCAACGAACATAAACTGGAAGAAATTAACAAAACCATCTTGGACGAAATAAACAGTTATACGCTCGACAAAATAGACAACATCATAACGTTAAATTGCGAGGGCAAGCTTTTCAAGGTTAGCTCGCTGATCTTGCTCATCCGGAGCAAAAAGTTCAGAACACTGATAGAAGCCAACGCGAGAGAAATTCAAATTGACGACGTTGAGCTAAATATTTTTGAAGAGCTGCTTCAATTCATCACGTCCAACATGTGTAGCACATTGTGTGATAGCAACGCGCTTACCAACAAACAAGCTGAGCTGTTGATTGCGGCTTACAACTACAAAGTAGACTCGCTCTACGAACTATTACTTAAAAAAATTAAAAAAGAGTTAACAGTCGACAATGTATTTGAGTATAAGGAAGCAGCCAAAAAATGTAAATCAGATAAATTGCTGCTGCAGGCCTGTTATGAGTTTCTTGACACACTGACAGGCAGCGAAGTCGCCGTGATGATCGAAAAAAGAAAGGATTCAAAAGGGGAAAAAGAGAACATAATTTAATCTCATGAAATTGCTGTATGCCAGTCGAGGTAAATAACAAAAAAAATTTTTTTTTTTTAATATAACTTGCATTTTCAAAACTTATCTTCAGTGCAGTAAAACCTTTTTGTGTGGAAATTGGTTTAAACATAAAAATGTCAATTTCCAAAAGAAAGGAAAGATTACAGAATGTAGGCAGACGCAAAGATGAAAACGCGGTAAAAGTCCACCATGGATCGGAGAAAGCCAGTAATTTTGGCCGAACCAAGTCTGTCAGCAATATTGTCAAACTGTACAAAGACAAGGGTGTCTTGCGTACAAAGTTGCAACCGCATGAAGCGCCAGTAGTGCGGATTGAACCAAGTAGAAAATGGTTTAACAACACTCGCGTAGTAAGCCAAGAAAAACTCGAAAAATACCGACAAACGCTAGAAAATCACAAAGACGACCCCATGAGTGTGATGGTGAAACGCACAAAACTCCCTGTTTCGCTGTTCGACCATTCAAACGAGAGCGACAACAAAAAAAGCAAAAACCTGCTTGCTTTGCAGAGTTTTTCCTCTACGTTTTCTTCTAAAACACGGCAGAAACAGCCTTTGCTTGGTTTTTCGAGCTTGGCCGACTTGTCCAGTAAAGCAGAAGAAGAAAGTACTAAATATTTGGATAAATTAAGCAATCAGACCGAAGAAGATCTAGGAAAGAAAGACGGGCCCAAACCACAACCAGACGCGATACTGTCTAAAGGTACTTCGAAGAATCTTTGGGGGGAGCTTTACAAAGTTGTAGACAGTTCTGACGTCGTGCTCGAAGTGTTAGACGCGCGCGACCCCATGGGAACTCGTTGTTATTATTTAGAACAACATATCAAGAAAGACAGACCGTTCAAACACATAGTGTTGGTTTTAAACAAATGTGACCTTGTGTCTGAATCTGTAACTCGAAAATGGGTCAAAATTCTTTCCAAAGAATTCCCTACCCTCGCTTTCAAAGCTTCCATAAAACATTCTTTTGGAAAATATTCGTTAATCGCGTTACTTCGCCAATATGCTAAGATGCTTTCTAACCGAAAACATGTGTCTGTTGGATTGATCGGATTTCCTAACGTCGGTAAAAGCAGTCTAATTAATACCCTTAGATCAAAACAAGTTTGTAATGTTGCGCCGATTCCAGGAGAAACCAAAACATGGCAGTACATTGAACTCAGCAACCGCATTTATATAATTGATTGCCCAGGTATCGTTCATGGAATAGGCCAGTCTACCCTTACCGACAACCAAAAAGTAATTCGTGGAGTTGTGAGGGCGGAAAAATTACTTGAACCAGAACAATACATTCAAGACATAGTTGATCTTGTCGGCTATGAAAAGTTTGTTAAACACTACAACCTAGACGTGAAACTAGATGAACCGAATAAGTCTTCCGAAGAATTGCTCACACTCATGGCGATTAAACGAGGTAAACTTGGAAAAGGCCAAGTACCATTGATATCTCAAATGGCAGTAAAAGTAATTTATGATATACAAAGAGGGAAACTGCCCTACTTTGTTCCACCACCAAGCCAGAAAGAAGAAACCAGTGATAAAAATATCGAGCATCTATCTGGAATAGACCTTTTATTCGATTGTGCAAACGTTGCAGTGGATACAAATATCGAAAATGGGCTTCAAGAAAATAAAATTGATGATGTTCCGCAGATTGAAACTTTTAAAAACGGCACTCTCAAAGAAACATCTAGTAATGAAACAGTAGATTTTAGTATAGATAGCGATACTATAGCAGCAACAAAATAAATTTTTGACACATCTTGATCTAAGTTATAATTAATCACTCTTTTAAAACGTTTAAGATTTAGAGTAATGTTTAAAAATCCTAAAACTATTCAAAGATTTGCTGGACATTTATAGATTTAATGGTTTCTCCATTATTTGATGTCAAAATTTTAGTGTCATCAGCGTTCCAAACGATGTTGTGACCAGAAATTGCTTGATTCGGCAAGTTGGATTTCAAATCAAAGCTAGGGTTAGGGCCTATATCCCAAATTTTTATAGTTCCATCTATCTCCTGCGCCGCCAACTCATTGGTGTCATTGGAAACTGAAATTGAAAGGACAGGTCTGTCGCAATCGAGCAACACACTGATTAGTTTGAATTCAAAGTCATTTGATATATCCCAAACCTTGATAGCAATGTCATCGCTGCAAGTAACGATAAAATAATAAAACATTTCGTATGATGTATTGTAAAATTTTTTTAGCAAAGCAATTTCTTTTACAGCACTTTGATGTGCTATGGTTTTAGTCATTAACCATTCATAATTTTTCATTAACGAAAATAAGTATAGTGCACCGTCAGAACAACCTACTACGAGCGAAAGTCCTGTGTATTCAGTTGCATTTTCTTTTTCCATACCCTCATTGTTTGCGTTGGAAAACACAAAAGTGAGAGTAGACACAGCGCTTGACAATTTGTTGTTTGAGTAAACCTTGATCCAGCTATTGTTTATCAGACTGAAAATATGTACAGTTTGATCAACGCCACCACTCGCTAAAACGTTTCCGAAATGATCGTCTGCAAAAGCTAATGAATTTACTATGCCTTGATGCGCGTTTAGCGGAGTAAATACTAAGTCTGTTTTATCGTCAATAAACTTTATTAAGCCATCAGAAGTTCCAATTGCAAGGAATTTTGAAAACGGAGAACTTGCGATACAATTTACATCTTTAACGTCTCCAATTACAAAGTCATTATATGTTTCATTTGTCATTTCGTCCTGTAATGAGTTTTAAGATTTTATTTATGGTGTATTTTAGATATATTCAGCCTTTGCGTAAATAATCTTGATTTATTAAATTAAAAATCTATAACAATATTTTCGTCCGTAGAAAACTTTTTTACTAGCGCTACTGACTTGTTAAAGCAGTTTTTGATAAGTGGCTTAATTAATTGCGTATTATGATCATATAAACATAGGGCAGAAACTAATTGAGTTTTTTTATGTTTTTTTTTACTTAGTCCATATGCAAGAAGTAGTGAACCTAATAACGCATAATCGGTTTTCCTAAATCCTTTTTCGTTTATTTTTTGTGAAATATGTGAAGACAACAGTCTTGAAACAGAATAAAAACAACCTAATTGTGCTCCAGAGTGCATTCCGTAATGTAAATTATCGACAAACTGATTAACTTTAATTGTTGAAGTCAGTGTGTTTAAAGAATTAAGTTTGTAACTAACAGGTTGAAAAATTGCAAAGCAAGCCGTGTTAATTATAATAGAACGACCTACGTCGATGAAAAAAGGAATAGAAACTTTGGTATCTGTTTGTGGCACTGTGATTTTGTCGTCAAGAAAATTGGCCGCTTTTTGCAACCAGGAAAGTGTGTTAAACATACTTTAAAAACAGACTGATTAAACTAGAAACCTATGAATTAATACTTTTTATTAGCGGAAGTAATTTACAGGTAAAATATAATAAAAGGGAAGTTATAACTTAATAAAAAGATTAAAAAGAATTATATCATATTAAGTTGGGATTTAGCAAAAAATCCACACTTAGTCTAGAAATATTAATTTCTGAGAGTTCTCTAAGTTTTATTTAGTAAGACAATCCTGGATAGACAGCAGTACCTGTTTTAACTGGTTGGTAAGAACCAGTGACAGCTGGACCTTCGTAGTTTGGTTGGCTTTCTACTAGTTGTTGTTTTTTTTCATAGTGGTTAACTGTTGTTGGAGTGTTGATGTTGTATTTTTCATACGTGTTACCAACATCTTTCATTTCAGTCACTTTGACGTCGTAAACTAGGTTGTTAGTTTTGTTTGAGTATACTTCACGAGGCGTGAGGTAGTTGTTGTTGCTTACAACGGTGTCTGGGTATCTAGTGTTTTTAAGGATGTCGACTCTTTCGCTTCGTACGATGTCGTCACGTGCGTCGTTGTATTGAGCAAGTCTGTAGTAGCCGGTTGTTGGGTATACAGAGTAAGCAGGAGTGTATACTACTGGGTAGGAGTAGGCTGGGTAAGCTCGGCTGTAGTAGTCGTAGACAGAAGCGTATCCGTTTACCATTCTGCTGGATCCGTCGATGTATGGTTTGTAGGACATTATTTCGTAAGGTCCGTAAACTTGGCTCTCAACGGTAGAAGCATCTTTAAGGACTACTTTGTAAGAGTCTTCAGCTCCTTTGGAAATTACATAGGTTTCTGGTTTTGAAAGTTTGGCGTAGGTGTCAATGTATGAAGTTACGTCGGGAGTAAAGCGAGATCTCAGTTTGTTCAAGTAACCAGCGTCAACAACATTAACATTAGAAACGTCTTTTTCAGTGTATTTAATTCCTCCAGTGTTTATTTGGGTGTTTGGGAATATTCCTCTGTCAGCAGCGCTCAAGATGGGGCCTCTTGTGTATACACCATAGTTATCGTAAGTTCTGGTGTTGACAATTTCGTCTCTGGGAAGAATGTTCTTGATGCCTTGGTTCAAGTCGACTCGGTCGGCGTGGTTGAAGTGTTCCACGTAAGTCTTGGGTAAAACAGTTGAGTCTACGTTTCCATCAGAAATAGTTTCACCGATCTTAGTTGTAACGTGCTGATTCCTAGCAACGTTGCGGATGTTGATTGGGTTGTTGATGTTGATGATTTCGTTCACTTCTTCAAGAGGGGCTGAGTTGTAGCTAACGTACTTTTCGTTTCCGTACACGTTGCTAAAAGGTCCATAAGCTTCAGCTCTGTTTAATCTTCGGTGTTCGTCGACGTATACTCTTGATGGGTAAACAGTTCGGGGTTTTTCAAGAACTGTGTATTTCTTGGTGCATTCGACTGGAGATAGTCCATCACAAGAATCAAATGTAGTAGTGCTCTTGGCGTAATTGGTTTGCTCACCGTCCAAAATTGGGCTGACATTGATGTTTACAAAATCAATGTCCTTGGAGATTTTATCATTAACAATATCGTTGAATCTCAAGTTAGAAGCGCTAACAATAGTAAAAGCAAATAACGATTTATTTAGAAACCTCATGATTGTCTAACTACTTAAAAAAAAATTATCATACGACATTTATACTCTTTCCCAAATGATAGAACTTGAAAAAATGACCCATAAAAAAAATTGGAAAACCCTAAACCGTGGAATCAATTATTGTAATAATTAAACGTATAAATTAGCTTAAATCAAATTATTTGGCACCGAAAACCGTATATCTTGTAAAAATGTAATTAGATCGAATTTTTTCTTTATGATACTAATTGTCAAACTGATGAAGTTATACATGGAGAAACGCTAACGGAAAAACTAATCTAAAACCCAACCTTCTAAATATTAATCTTCATATCTAGTATTACGTCACTGAGCTGTATAAGAAACTAAAATTTCTTATTTGACGCCTAATGCGAAATTATGAAAATCTTCAATTCAATAAATTTAACAGTATCTTTAACTAAATATTTGAGTGATAAAATTAACTTTCTGTCTGGTTTACCAAGGGAATCAATTTGACTATTAATTCTTCTGTAGACAAATCATACATAAAGCTAGAAATTCCTGTTTTAGACGTCAAGTCAGAGGTCAAAAGAATTTCGAATATATAAGCTGCCACTGCGCTTTTCTCCAATAATAAACTATTATCAAGATACACTTTTTGAATGCCGCTGGCGAGTTTCCCAGTTTTGAGCGCTTCTTCAATGTCGACAACCAAAGTGATCACATGAACTGACCGCATCGACGACACTGGGACTCTGACATACATGTATTCTGCATCAATATGGATTTTAAAACAAGTACTAACATCCGACAATTCAGGGGTCGAAAGCTCGATATCTTCATAAGAACGATTCGCACTGTACAACTCGTGCAGTGAAACCAGCTGTAGCGTCAAACTTTGAATATTGGCGAAATAAACGTAGCAGACACCAATAAACTGGTCGATACAATTAGTTTTCGGTCTGAACAGTTCAAATATACTATATAACTTGTGAATCAACGCTTTAGAAAGATAAAGTAATATTTCCATGAAACCTTTGCAGATAATATTTTCATAGGAAAGTGCCGCAATGTTCGGGAGTTCGTTTTCTTCCAGATTTTCGTCATCTTTTTTAGCCTTGTATATTTGCCTGCTATGCTGCTTACAAATGTTATCGATCATTGTTTGCAACAACTTGTTTGATAAAACAACGTCGCCAAAGCAAATGTAACCAAGTTGTAACGCAGGCTTAATAATGATTTTGATCTTCCAGTTAGGCAGAGAAAACAATAACATGTCGACATACGTCAGGCGGTTCATATGAGCGTTGAAAATCTTGTCTCGCAGCGAAACCGCTTCTCTGCATGACTCGGGCCAATTTTCCGTTAACCATATCTTCATGTCAAAAAGCGTGTAGGGATTGCACACAAGTACTGCGCCTCGCGTTGGGTAACTTACTTCTAAAACTCCTGTTTCGGTTTCAATTTTTAAATTAATACCGTTCCAGGTTTCAATTATATGTGCACAGTCTAGATAGGAATTCAATGTATGTGTCATTGCTTTTAACCGCTTGTAGCGGGCATTGTATAGCTCGATCGAACGCTTCTCAAATCTGATATGGTTATCCAGTTCGTTAAGCTCAGCGTGGCTTTTTTCCAATATTGATTCAAGCTCGCTGAGTTTAATGCGCGAACCATCTCTAAGTTTATAAAAACGTTCTATTACGGTTTGGTATACGTTAATTAGTGTTTTGTATTGGTCCACTTTGCTACATTCGTCTTTAATTCGGCATTCAATGTGGGGGATTTTCTGAGTGACAAAATCTACCTCCTTCTCCAACGACTTTATATTGTTGTGAATTTCTTGAATTCGGTCGTAAGTAGCATTAATTATACTGACCAGCAGTTTGTCTTGGAAATTTCGTTTCCAAAAGTTAAACGCGTTCTGATTAATTGACACCATTTTAAACATGATGTAGTTTGAAAACGCGTTCGCGTGTGATGTTTTGATATTGGATATCTTAGCTAGAAGCCTTAATAAATCATAACTTTTGATCTTGTTTATCAGTAATTCCAATACGTTCTTAAGGTACTTTTCGAAAAAAGCGTACGAGTCGAATGTACCTAGAGACAAAGCCAAATTGTTCAAGTCGACTTCTTGCACAAGCTGAGTTATTGGAATCAGTTGGTTGCTATCTTCAGAAACAGGGTTTACCTCGCTTTCTAACAACTGATGAAACGCAGATTGGATTTCGCTCTTCAACACAGAAAGACAGATATCGTCGAGCAAAGAGTAAATCTCTTGAGGAAAGACCTTCGCATGTGAAACCAGAGAAATTGTAGATTCAGTATCGCTGTAACTATTAGCAATGCTGTAATTGATTATTTCAGACAACTTCGACATAAATTCATTATTTGAACTGTCTCGCTTTCGAAAAGCATTCTGGTTAGAGTTATTACTAGTAGAAATTTTTTTTTCTTTCTCTAAACCATCAGAACTAAGTGAATCTACCATATCACTTGAAGATTTAAAGTTTGTAGCTGAATCCTCCGTTGCTGAAACAGAAGATACTGTTTCGATGTCTTTTCTCTGCGGTTCTGCAGAATTTACAATTTGATGTGAAATTGGAATTCCTTTTGCTTCTGCTGATCCTGTAGAATTGTTTTGGGCACTAAAGACGGAGTTAATCATTTCAGTGTCGTTTTTACGGTTATTTTCGCCCGATTCAGCTACGCGTTCTGATGACGGAAGCTCGTTCGATCCGTTAGCAGAAGAAGTTATGTAGCTGTCCGGCAAATAAGATTTGAAATCGGGCTCTATGACAGACCAATAGTTGTGGATTACATTTTCTGAGTTTTCTGAGTTTACCACCAGACGTGAATTTCGGGATTGATGCATCACTGACAAGGTTTTTTTGCCCATCAAGTTTACGCCAGGATTGTCTCTAGACATTTTAGACGTGGCCTCGATGTTTTCCGAAACCTTATTGTGAACTTTAGTAAAACATACTTCTGCTTGCTTTTCTTTCTGTTGAATTACTGATTTGTGCGTTGAATTTCCAAATTGGTTGTCAGTTGATTTTTGATTAGAACTCATGAAGTCTTGTGTTTCATCTTCCTGCAAAAATATCAATAGCCAAACTTTTCAATTAATATTTAACTAATAAATAGAATTTACAATCGCCATCCACAACGAAAATTATTGAAATTCTACAGAGGTTAATAGCATAAATTAAACTTACAATTTATTCGAATTATTACCGAAATTATTTAGTGAGTAAATAATTGAATTTCACGCTCGAATAATTAATTTCCCCTGTTAATGAAATTCGCAAAATCGTAAATAATAATTAAATACAATCTGTGGGTGTAAATTGTGAATTTTATTTTAATTTGCAAAACCCCCATAGATCGATTCGAAGCGCTTTCGAATACTATTATTATATGAAGTAAGACCTGCTTTAGCTTTTATGGACATTTCTACACTTGTTGAAATTTCTAACATCGCTGTGGTTATTCGTTCAATCGAAAATTGTACCGAGTTCCCCAACGAGTCGCGCTACTTTAATTCTTTTTTGCTATTTAAAAATCAGCTGAACGACACCCCTGCTTTCACAACAATCACGATTGGAAGAAAGAAAACTGACTCAATCAAGCTGCAAGACCAGACTATCAGCGCGTCGCATCTCAACATCAATTTATGTGTGGCTGAAATTAAAAATCAAAGCGAACCCAAACCTCCAACTGCTCGAAACGACAGATATAACGTCGCAATCACCTTGATCGATAGTTCCACCAACGGCACTTGGATAGGACGAAACAAGCTTGAATCAAATAAACCAGTTTTAGTTGCTCCAATTTTGCAAAACATCCCTGGTTACAATGACAAAATTTTTGTTTCGTCCACCTACTCTGACTTCAACAGCAAAGAAATTATTTCGTTGTCCAAACCACTCATCGCGACTCAGCAAATTTTCGCGTTTCAAATCATTTGTGTTCCCATCCCGGCAAACATTAATGTGCCCAATATTAATAAATTTTTAGTTGATTTACTTGACGAGCCACCTAATAAATTGAATTCTAATGTGTGCGGTTCAGCCTCTACTTATTCTGGTTTTTCACCATCCAACTTGCACAGCTTATCCGACTCTCCCAGTATGGTTATCATGCTCGAATCCGAAATTTCTGAACTTCGAATCGAATTGCAGAACAAATCCAACACCATCGCTAAATTAGAAGAAAAAATGAAAACTTTAGAAAACAACTACGAAAATTCACAATCTACTATTACACAACTCCAAACTGTCAGCAAAAGTCTTGACGCACACATCGCGGAGCTGGAAGCCCAGCAGTTTAAACTCAAAATGAGGCTTGAACATTCTCAAAAAACCAATAAAGACCTTTTGCATCATCTGCAAAATCTAGAAAATAAGCATAATGAACAGTTAAATATCAATTCACACTACCAAAAAACACTTGCTAAAACTTCTTGCTTGCTGTCTACTTTTGCCAAATCTCTGTTGCCCCTGCACTCCACCGAAAATTCGATTCAGCAGACGTGCAACGGTTTGCTGGAGTCCAACGAACTCTCCAGTGATGGTATTATTTCCAAACGCAAAATTAATGACAAGAAACCGCTTATCAACTCAGGTTTCGACCAATTTAAATCTATAATCAAAAATTATAAATAATTTACCGAAAGATAATCCATTGTCTACTTTATTATCCTAACTTTGATTTTTATCACACCAATGTTTAAAATAACATATCCTATTTATATCCCACATGGTCTTATGGAAATTTGATAACTACTAATCTTAGCTTAGCTTATACTGGAATTTACCAGTGAAAAACTTCATTTACTATCGCTAATATAACTATTGTGATCTATAAAAGTAAACTTAACCTTAATAATGTATAAAACAAATATATTTTGTTTCTAAGTTGTCAAAAAATTTAATTTATTTAGACTTCTACAGGCACGGCACTGATCGCATCCATCGCGACCTCTCTCAAGTCTGTTTCAAGCATTTCTAAATCTTCTCGCGCCTCTGTAAATTCTCCTTCTTCCATACCTTCGCCCACGTACCAGTGTACGAATGCTCGTTTGGCGAACATCAAGTCAAATTTGTAATTCATCCTTGAAAATACTTCAGACATTCCTGTGGAATTGGAACAGGCACACAGTGCCCTGCTTACTTTGGCCAAATCTCCGTCTGGTATATAAGTAGGTGGCATGTAATTCAGTCCTGCTTTGAAACCTGTAGGGCACCAAGGCACGAATTTAACATTAGGCAATGATTTTATTTGTCTAATAGCAGCGTTTGTATCTTTTGGCACAACGTCTCCTCGGTAAAGCAAACACATAGCTATATAAGAACCTGCGTTCGGATTAAACTTAGCAAAATGGTTTTCTGGTTGTACTATCGATCGAGTTAAGTCCTGAACAGAAATTGCTTCGGAACGACATAACTCCGGTGTGATGAGCGGTGCATACGAAGACATACAGAAATGTATTCTCGGAAAAGGTACTAGATTCGTTTGGAACTCTGTAATATCAACATTTAAAGCTCCGTCAAACCTAAGAGAAACAGTAAAAGAGCTGATAACTTGCGCAATTAATCTATTTAAATTGTGGTAACTTGGGTGCTCAACCGATAACTGCTTTGTACAAATATTATAAATGGCTTCATTGTCCATTAAAAATGTTACATCTGTGTGTTCAATGAAAGAATGTGTACACAGAACAGCATTGTAAGGCTCTACAATGGCAGTTGATATCTCAGGAGCGGGCCAAGTACAAATATTTAGTTTAGATTTTTTTCCATACTCCAACGCCAACTTTTCCAATATTAAACAACCTAATCCTGATCCAGTACCACCTCCGACGGCGTGGTACATTAAGAACGATTGAAGACCCGAACAATTTTCAACTAATTTTCTAATTTTGTCCATCACATTATCAATAACTTCTTTTCCAACTGTGTAGTGGCCTCGTGCGTAATTATTAGCAGCGTCTTCTTTGTGACTTATTAACTGTTCCGGGTGAAATAGTTGTCCATAAGTTCCATTTCTAACTTCATCAATTACACTAGGTTCTAAATCACAAAACAGAGCTCGGGGAACTAGTTTATTTTCGCTCGTCTCACTAAAAAAAGTGGAATGAGCGTCGTCTTCAAACCCTTCGAAGCCGTCACCGTTGGAAGGTAATGTTCCGTCGGGAAAAATCCCATGTTCCAAACAAAAAAGTTCCCAAGTTGCTCCTCCAAGCTGGGCTCCGCATTGACCTAAATGGATTGATACTATTTCCCTCATTTATACTAGGTTTACGCCGAATTATATCAATATGTTTTACTAATAACTATCTATGGTGTGTGTGCACACTTTTTTTACAAACATAACTCTTGTAGAACTGTATTATAATTTTGATCTAAATTATTATTATTATTATTATTTAGTTCATATTTTTCTTTTTTCAGATTATTTTGACTGATCATTTGGTTTCGTAAGTTCAAATAATACTTTCTTTTTTCCTAAAAATATTTTTCTAAACGATTTACCTTTTGTCTTTTTATAAAATTTTCTACTTCTTGTTTGACTTCTGCTTCAGCAACCTTGCTTTCATAGTTCCAGATGTTTTTTTTTTCAGCAATTCGTTGTTGTTCAAACTGGTAAAATTCAATCCAGACCATTGATTTGTTCACAAAATCATTATTTAAATGCAAATAAATTAAACATTTAACTACGTCTTGATACCTTTCCTCGGTTTTCTTAACATATTCTTTCGTTTCATCAACGGATAAAGCCCCTATTTGTTGTTTCCATTCTGAGATCTGTTCTACCGTCACAAGTTTTTGATTTAACGCATTTTCAATGAACGCATTACTTTCTTTAAGTTTTTCAGAAACAGAATTTAGATTCGTAAGTAGACCATTTTCGAGTTGACTGAAATGCTCTAGCCTTTGATTACACAATTTAGCACATTCAGTTCGAAAATATATCAGAAATTCTTGAATTTCGTTTTTATATAGCGAACTGAACTGTACGTAATAGTAGTCATTGATGTCTTTGACAAACTTTCTAACCATTATTTTAAATAATATTATTAAAATTTTCAAATGTGTTATTGTACGTATTTGATTTTTTGTTTATACGAAAATTAGGTTTTACAAGCTTGACTGAAAATTTCTTTTTGCTTGAACTTACTGTTTGGCTGACTGACATACTGGAACTCAGAGCTTTGTTCTAAACTTTTATAAACTTTATTAACATACTGATAGCGTTGTAATTTTGCGGCTTTAACGTAATATACAGCGGGTCATTTTGTTGGCTGATCAACTCTCTGTTGACTTTACAGTGAATCAAATTCAAGGCGCCAATGGCAAGAAGAACTTTAACTTGTGCTAATTTCATCCACTTAACCAAACACGTTATATGTCAAAATAATTACTTTTCAATATAATTGATCAAGTATTATATTAGAATAATAATATACTTTTATTCCTCAAATATATTAGATATATAATGAAAAATTTTTAACTGTAAAACAGAAAATGAATCGACGCTCTAAAATTGCTACGTCAACATATTAATGTAAAAATACTATCATGTTGTGATTAGCCTAAAGTTTTCATAATTAGAATGTACGAACAATAAGTTAACTATAGATTATAATTATAATTCAAATTACAAGTCAGGTTAACTGATAAAATAAGCTTTTGATAATATTAACATTATTATTGTAATTTCCTATTTGTAGATTTGTGTTCTAACGGTTTAAGTATTTTAAACGAACATAACAAATTTTCGTCTACAATCATCATGGCTCCAGCATTGTCGAATTCTCCACAATAATTAGGAGCACTGAATAATGTTACGAGTTTGCGGTCGCAGAAGAATTCATACCCATCTTCGACTACCTGATGGCCTCGGCAAATTAAGTCAATATCATGTTTTTTGACAAAGTTTTGCACAACCTCCGGCCCAAAAGTATACGAAACCCCGCGATCATTCTCCCCCCATTTACATACGTTTTTGTCGGGATCACTCCACAAAAGGTCACAAATCAGCCCAGAATCAGGAATAGCAGTAGGACGTGCAATCATTCTAATCTGGTTAAAGTTATGTAGATCGGGACTTAAACCACCGTGCATACAAATAATTTTTCCACTTATCAAAGCTACTAATGGCAAACAGTTAAAACAGTCTATAAATGTTTTCCACAGCTTTATGCTGTATCTTGTTTTGCACTCGTCGTAAAATCCATAAATTCGGTTGATACTTGCACATTCATGATTTCCACGAAGTAAGAAAAAATTTTCAGGATATTTTATTTTATAAGCCAAAACTAAACATATAGCTTCAATCGAATTTTTTCCACGATCGACATAGTCGCCTAAAAATAAATAATTCGATCGAGGTGGCCAGCCACCATATTCAAATAAACGTAGTAAATCGTAGTACTGCCCATGAATGTCTCCGCAAATCATTATTGGTGGATTTAATTCTAGCAGTACCGGTTGCTGCAAAAAAATTGCTCGAGCTTTACGACATAGTTGACGGATTTCTTCTTCGGTGAGCATCACCATCATACCTGGAACGCTTTTTCGTACTTCCAGTAATTTTGCAATTATAGAGTCAACATTCAGTTCTGACATAATCTTGTTTTTATTTTACTATAGCCAATTAGACAATATTTATAGATCACTTATAAAATACTGCAACGCATTTTGTTTATTTCAATTATAATTCTATGAATAAAAAACTCAAAAAGCTATAATTAATTTAATAAAAAATAGTTATTACACGAGAGAATTTAAAAGCTTCAAATTATATAAATAAAATAATTTTATTTTGAAATTATATTCCACTAAATTTCAACGTAGTAAATATTTTGTGAAAAAAAAATTTAATTATGATAATACGGCACCTGTAATTATTTGTTTTTTTTATAACTACTTAAGTAATTGTTATTTTTATTGAAAATTTTCATATCAACTATATTTAGAATGTAAATTTAATACGCTTAAATCGAATGAGCTCTAAATTATTCACCAAAATATTCTATTGGATTTTTATATTTAGTGGGAGTTGTGCAGAAGTTAGTTCACAAATTGTTGAAAATTTACTTTCACAGACATATCCGATCCAAAACGAAATTACTGTTTCACAGCCATCACTGTCTGCAAATCCATCACACCTACTCAACAATCATGATAAACTCGATATTTCTAATCTAAACATAGACGTAAAAATTGTGTTTCACCTTAATTCTGAAGCAAATATGTACAGTGACCAGTCTCTTTTAAAAGGATTGGAGGTTGTTTTAGTTTGTCACCAAAATGATTTCGTCTACGCTGTGTATTCGTTGAATCAAGGACACAATGCTCAATATAGAAACCAGTCAATTGCACAACCTGCATACACAGAAGATTCACATAATTTCAATATCTTTAATAACAAAGCTATGAAATCTATATTTCTAATAAAAGATCTTCAGTCAACAAAAGATATTTTGACAATCGAAGCTAAATTTATGATAAACATGATTAATCAGTTAGATACTGAGGCAGTAGAACTGAATAAAAGTCTTAGTGATAGTGACAAGGATTCTTTACGCTTACTGAAAGATAAACTAGAGAAATAAAAAAGATTCTTAACTTGTTTAATTGCTAAAGTTGAAAACGCAACCAAAATTGACAACTCTTATTATGTGATGATGGAGGTCTTTATCAACACTCCTCGATTATTCGAAATTCTTCTCAAGAACGAATATTTTTTAATCCTAACGCTGTTAAAGAAAGCCGCATCAGTTGATTATAGTAAACTAAAAGCGGAAGAAACTGTAAGTTAGTTTAACAATTATATTTTAGATACTCAATGATAAACATATCAATGGAAAAAATAAAACAGTGACTTATACAATTCCTTTAAAGACATTGCTAACAATGAAATACGCGGTGAAAAAACTTTATGAGGATGATAATAAAAAATTAAGTGGAATTGTTGTAGACAGTATCACTACTGGCATAACTGTAGCAGATTATTACTCAACTTACGTCAATAGGAAGAACAAAAATTTTTTACAAAAAGTTTTAGAATATTTTTTGGGCAATGATTATATAGATGAAGAAAACTTGACTGATATAGCGGTTCACCCGTTGAAAGTTATTTCTCTTTGCGCCCCAATAGATTATGTTTTTAAATTAGATTTAAAACACTTCGAATCCACAATGTATATTATTGAAAACAATAAAGAAAACGATTTCCTACTAACTCCATTTGAAAAAGACTTAATTGAAGCGTTTTCAAGAGAGGAGATAATATTACATGATAACATATACAAAGTACTTGACAAAACCAAAACAGCTGCAGGTCGAGTTGTTACAAAAGAACATTCATATTCAATCGGAGAAATGGTCAAGCTTTCTGAAAATCAAAGTATAAAACAATAATAAAAAAAGTTTTTAAACTCGTTGAACTCCCCAAACACCAATTCGTTCGGTCGATGACTCAGATTCGTCGGTGAGAAATGCTTCACAACTTTCGTTTTTTCTCTTGCTTAATGCTTTAAAAATAGAAAGACGATCTACTTTTAGTTTTAAAAAAACAGTGACTATTTCAATTAATGATAAGATTATAAGTATTATTAACATAACACCGTACTTGGAAGATGGTTGCGAATATACTCCTACCGTGTAAATATCATTTTTAGCTGTAGAATTTTCATCAGTTACGAATGGAAATTTGACAGGGTTTAACAAATTCAAATTTGAAATTGGTAAATATAAATATCCAATGTAGCCCGTCAAAGAAATTAAACACCAATAAATTCCAACATAAGTCAAGTTAAAGTAGCAAAATACTAAAGGAATTAATAGTATAATTATATTAGTAGCTAAGAATCGATGCGTAAATTTTGAAAATTCATTTAGCTTTGCAATGGTAAGGTGGATAAATTTTTTGTGTAAATGTCTTTGAAGTGGATACTTATTTGAGTCATCTTCTTTTCTAATTTTATCAAGTTGGTGCTCAGTTTCAGACATGTTTAATGTAAGAAGATTTTCGTTTATATCACTGTCCCTTAAAATATCAGAATAAGAAACATTAGCATTATTGTTTTTGACATTGATATTTAATAATTTCAATATGCGATCTGCAAACGAATATTTATCATTCTCAATATTAATACCGTCAAGAGGCGTAGCTATATGATTATTGATAGTTTCATCGTTATTCTGGCGTGATTGTAATGTTCCTGGATTTGTATGGCGGTAATTTTCATTTTGTGGTGATGTGGGTAAACTGCATGATTTTTTTGTCGCTTCGAGATGTAAAAATTTAAAACGTAAGCTAAAATTATTGTCAAAAAATTAAACTTACTATAAAACTGATTCACCAGTCTTTTCGCTTATATATGTTAAATGTCCGATTTCTGAAAAATTAATAAGAGTCAGAATAGATAAAGCTGCAGATAATACAAGCAATAAGCTGTATTTTTTATATATTATAAACGTCTTAATGAAGATAAATTTGATTGAGGTTTTCAATGACATTTATTAAGCTAGGTCTTTTAGAAGCTTCCGGTTGAAGAATAGAAATTAAGAGATAATTTAATGTATCGGAATAGTAGGAAGGAATTATTCGTCCGTTTTGTCCAGAAATAAAATTAAGCAAAGCTTGATAATCTTTGTTTAAAATTTTTAGCATGCGTTTATTTTTATTTGAAATATTTTTGGTACAAATTTTTTTGAAAGCCGTTTGAAAAGTTTGTATGGTATAGACTGATTCTTTTTCGTTTTTGTAAAGTGATAACTCATTATCTTTAACTTCTAAATCTAATGGACTTGGAAAAGCAATTTTTTTATTACATAACTCGAATAATAAACAACCTAAGGACCAGCAATCACTACTTTCATTAATAGAACCCTCCGTCCACATTTCAGGACTCATATATATTGATGTCGAAAGTGGAATTTTATCAGCATGTAGTGCTCCCTGTTCTGTAAATTGCGCTAGCCCTAGATCTGCAACTTTTATGTCGAGATTTCTATCTAAATATATATTGCTGCTTTTAATATCGCAGTGAATAATGCCTAAGCTATGAATAAAATTCAATCCTTTTGCAATCTGTAATACCCATTTCGTTATTAATTTTTCTGGAATTAAATTTTCATTCGATGTTACATAATCAAACAAATCGCCGTTTTCACAATATTCCATAACAATAATCAAATATTCTCTTTGTATTGACGATTCTATATATTTTATAACATATGGATTGTTTATCTTTTGCATTATTTCAGCTTCTAATAGAATATTTTGTGACTTGCCAGAATATTCGTTGGAGAGTAAATCTATTACTTTAGCAACGTATTTAACATTATTTTTCGTTACGATATACAAAGAAGAATTGCTACCATTATCCAAGAAGGATTCTAAATCATAACCCATCGCTTTAAAATTTACCTCAGATGTGAACATGCTAGTTAAGCCAGGAATGATTGGATTTAATCCCAATTGCAGATACTCTGGATTTATACCTGATTTAGAATTAATGTATTCATGAGATAAATAATGATTTTGCAATATTGGACAAGAATTATAACGCTTTAAAGAATTGTTATAATTAACTAATGTTTTTTGTTCTTGTTTTTTCGAGTGACGATGCATTTTTTTCAATTGGTGATAACGATTATTGGCAATAATTGGATCTTCATGGTTATAAAGTAATTGAACAAACCTGATGTTTTTCTTTGAGCTTTCATTATGTATCAATATACGATTTGTATTCATACTTTTTTTTACATTATATGTCATTAATGAAATGGTTTCTTAGTCAATTTATAATAAATTTATGTTTGGTTACACTACTTATTGAAATGTTGATTTTTGCAATCCCATTTATATACTATTCTTACTAAAGAAATATGTAATAATTGTATCTGAATACACACACATGGATAGTTATTGAAAAAGCCGATTAGTTTAATTCAGTTTATTTTATAAGTTTTTTATATCCACGTAACTGCTTTGGATTTAATTGCATTGATCTTAATATCGGTTCAAGTGTCGGTAAGGAAATAAGCCATCTTAAAAACTTTTCAATCATGGCATTCATTGAATCGTCTAGTTCAGGAGTATTGTAAATTTCTAAAAAGCTTAAATATAACTTTTTGTAAGCGTACAATACAAAGTCTTGGCTCACAACAAACCTCTCGAGATAGGAAGGTTGAGAAAATAAGTTAATTACGTTTGTATGAACTTTAGCAGATTCCTCTATATCATCAGTTAGCGGCATAATATCAAGTGCAATTTTCCACCAGAATTCAGCTTTACCAACTACGAAATCTGGATAAAATAAAAATGAATTTATTATTCCGCTAGCAATGTTCTCAAGAACTGGACGGAACTCGGATTTTCTTATAAAATCCTTAGTTAAAAGACCTTCGTAAGACTCAATGCAACGTGTAACAAGGACATTATTCATATTAGGGGTGGCTAATATTAATGAATATAAATAGCATATACACCTTTCAATAAGCGCGCTTGGAGTATAAACACTCTTGAATGAAGCTTCAACAATGTTAGAAAGCACAGGCAAAGAATTAGCTCGGAAAATTGCAAAAATATCTGTAGCAATGTAATAACCTAGCAAGGAATCATCTGTTTCATCACTTGAAACAAATTGTTCTGCGATATTGATCAGTTTAGCTACAAAATCACCATGGAAATTAGCCTGATTCAATTTCATTGTTGCTTCAATCAAACTTGTACAAGAAACTCTAATAGCTTGCTCGTTTTCCAGATCATCTTTTAAATAATCTAACTCGTCATCATCTAAAGTTGAAATAACATTAGAATTCAATATCTTCGATCTACGAAGCGTACTACTTTCCAATAGTCTAATAATAAAACCTAAAATCATATCAATATCCTGCGTTGATAAAACGTTCACACCAGCTGATTCGATACAAAGAATCAAATTGTCTAACCAAACGCTAACGGCATGATTATATCTCAGTTGCGAACCTTCGAGTTTTTGTAACAACAAGAACAACCCTCTTGTTGTGTTTATCAATAGGTTATTAATAACTTCGTTAGGAACATTGACTTTGACATGAATGGATATTACAATAGACATAAGTTGTAAAGAGTAAGATTGAATATTTTCAGGATATTTGATTTTCAATAATTCATTCAAAGAAAGCAATAATTGGTCAATGAAAGGAGAAAATCCAGCATCACAGACTTCTGCTATTGTTATTAATAATACTAAGTATCGTTCTACTTCTTCAGTTTGTTCCGTGTTAATAGCTAAATCTTCGTCGTCTTCTCGGTAACCCTCATTGTTGCAGTTCGCGTCAGAATTCAAATCGAAAATACTGTGAATACTGTTAGGAGACAAGATTTTTAATATAGGAACAATAAAATACTCAGCATATCTAATGAATTCAACTTTCATAGCTTTTGCCATACGTTTAATAGCCTCAATGGAATAGTCTTTAACTTGTTGATTTTCTGAATTTGAATTAAAGATATTTATTAGAGCCTGGCAGATATCGTTGTAGTGCTGGGTCATTGAACCAGAAGTAGAACCAAATGAAATGATACTCAAAAATTCAAGTGAACGGCTGCAAAGTATTTCAGTTTCTTGCTTTTTATATAGAGATGCGTAGTATTTAAGTAAAGATATTATGTTTGGATATTTTGCAATTATTAAATCCGAGAAGTGAATAGCAGTGACTGTTAAAACGGTAACAGCCAGTTCGCGAATCATCAATAAAATCGAGTCGCGCTCCTGTGAAGAAATCTTTAAATCCTTGTCAGGTATAAAATCGTCACTCAAGCATCTAAAGATTATGTTTACTACTGTATCAACATATGGATAAAGGTCTTCTGGTTCGATCTGTTCAACAAAATTAATGTAAGTTGAAAATGCTTGAGCTTGAACTTTGCCTACTGGATCGTTAAAAGCATTAATGAATATAGGAAGAGCTTGCTGGTGGAAAGCTAACTGAACATCTGGATAGTGATCCACGGCAATCTGAGCAATTGCGTACAATGCCTCATATCTAACCCGATAGTGTTTATCAGACACACCGTTCAACAGTAATGTGAAAATTCCAGGTAATTCTGTTTTAATAATTTCTTCGGTGAAGTATTCACAGGTTTGACAAATAATCAAAAATGCAGTCGATTTAGCTCTCCAGTCATCGTATTTAAGAAGTAAATTTAGCTTATTGAAAAGCATAGGGAAAAATGTTACAGTTTCTAAACAAGAGGCAATCTTTTCTATGGCATACTCGGCTGTCTGTACCAATGTATGCTCCTCGTCTTCACCGTTAATTGGTGTAGAAAACCATTCATTAGTTTCTTCAATTTCATTCAAGCAAGAGACAATCACGTCAATTATTGCATTCATAAGTTCTTTGCGGTTACTAACCCATCGCGGGCGACGGTCACAATATATAAATATATACTCTAGAGAAATTATTCTGGCAGACTCATCAAAACCTTTATTTACAGAAATTTCCAGAAATAGTTTCAGCAAGTTATCGTTTACTCTATCTAAGAAGTTTGGCTTTATAGAAATAACTTCCATTAGTATGTTTACAAAGTTAGTAAAAAGTGTAGGGTCATGCGTATTTAGACAATCTTGAGCAATTATTTGTAATGATTGGTAAATTATCTCGCAGTATTTAGTGTATTTCGGTAAAACTGATTTCGGCGAATACAAAATAATGTTGCTACACAATTTAGTCGCAGCGTTGAGCATTCTCACATTGTCTATCATGAAGACTGAATCAAGTATAGATATATATAGATCGTGGTGAGGATTGTTGCTTAGCTCACAAATAACATCTCCTAATATTTCAACACCAGTAATCTTTACAACCAAATTGTTGTTGCTGGTGAGTGCTAGCACATGATTATTAAAATCATTCCAAAGACCGACCGGGATCAAAAAAGTTGCTAAGTGTACAATTAAAGATTGCACTG